TCTCATGACATTTGATAATACAGATCATGAGTAGTCAGATGGGATGTAACCTGGGGCTGTTATCCCATGACATTTGATAATACAGAACATGAGTGGTCAGACTAGATGTAACCTAGAGCTGTTATCTCATGACATTTGATAATACAGATCATGAGTGGTCAGACTAGATGTAACATGGGGCTGTTATCTCATGACATTTGATAATACAGATCATGAGTAGTCAGATGGGATGTAACCTGGGGCTGTTATTTCATGACATTTGATAATACAGATCATGAGTGGTCAGATGGGATGTTACCTGGGACTGTTATCTCATGACATTTGATAATACAGATCATGAGTGGTCAGACTAGATGTAACCTAGAGCTGTTATCTCATGACATTTGATAATACAGATCATGAGTGGTCAGATGGGATGTAACCTGGGGCTGTTATCTCATGACATTTGATAATACAGATCATGAGTGGTCAGACTAGATGTAACATGGGGCTGTTATCTCATGACATTTGATAATACAGATCATGAGTAGTCAGATGGGATGTAACCTGGGGCTGTTATCCCATGACATTTGATAATACAGATCATGAGTGGTCAGACGAGATGTAACTTAAAGCTGTTATCTCATGACATTTGATAATACAGATCATGAGTGGTCAGACTAGATGTAACCTAGAGCTGTTATCTCATGACATTTGATAATACAGATCATGAGTGGTCAGACTAGATGTAACATGGGGCTGTTATCTAATGACATTTGATAATACAGATCATGAGTGGTCAGACTAGATGTAACATGGGGCTGTTATCTCATGACATTTGATAATACAGATCATGAGTAGTCAGATGGGATGTAACCTGGGGCTGTTATCTCATGACATTTGATAATACAGATCATGAGTGGTCAGACTAGATGTCACTTGGGGCTGTTATCTCATGACATTTTGATAATACAGATCATGAGTGGTCAGACGAGATGTAACCTGGGGCTGTTATCTCATGACATTTGATAATACAGATCATGAGTAGTCAGATGGGATGTAACCAGGGGCTGTTATCTCATGACATTTGATAATACAGATCATGAGTAGTCAGATGGGATGTAACCTGGGGCTGTTAACTCATGACATTTGATAATACAGATCATGAGTGGTCAGATGAGATGTAACCTGGGGCTGTTATCCCATGACATTTGATAATACAGATCATGAGTGGTCAGACTAGATGTAACATGGGGCTGTTATCTCATGCATTTGATAATACAGATCATGAGTAATCAGATGGGATGTAACCTGGGACTGTTATCTCATGACATTTGGTAATGCAGATCATGAGTAGTCAGACTAGATGTAACATGGGGCTGTTACCTCATGACATTTGATAATACAGATCATGAGTGGTCATACTAGATGTAACATGGGGCTGTTATCTCATGACATTTGATAATACAGATCATGAGTGGTCAGACGGGATGTAACATGGAGCTGTTATCCCATGACATTTGATAATACAGATCATGA